CGAGGACTTGCACGCGGTTCTTCGTAGAGAGCAAAACGTTTTGCAGCAAAGTACGAATGTCCTTTTGTATAGAAAATAGTGAAAAAGTTTCACTTGAAAACCTCTCGAGAAACCCTTAGACGCTCTCGTTCTGTGCGTTGTGTTCCCCTATCTCCGTTCGCATCTGCGAAATTCCAGATGTTGGTGGCACCAGTTCCGGCAACTCCAGGCTCCACCCCTTTTATCTACACTCTTCCACTAGGGATCGTCATGTTAGGGCTGATTCCGTTCGTCTATATAGGATACCGTATTTGTAGGTAGGTGATGATGCGGCTGATTAGTTCTCTAAAGAGCTGGTGATCTTTTCAGGACCGTTTTTGCCTTTCTTCATGCAGTTCTGATCTATCTAGTGGCTCCACTATTCTACTCTCCCGACTTTTCTCGGTACCAAAATCGATGGACAGGTTAGTATATTGTAACGATATTGACCTCAATGTATAGATTGCATTTTCTGTAGGAAGTTAGGAGTTGTGAGAGGAGGGAAGTTCAAATCTTGGATTTGAGTTGATTTTTGACAATAAAATATTCAAATGTTTATAGTCGTAACCGGTGGAACAGATGGCATCGGCAAAGCCTACACTTTGGAATTGGCTAAACGTGGTCTCAGAAAATTCGTGCTCATTGGCAGAAGTCAGGAGAAACTAAACGACATCAAAACTCTTTTGGGTAAGCTACATGTTCATCAAATAGTCTCAAGCAGTCACTTCACTTCTCTTCTATTTTGGAATCTTTCTTGCCATGGAAACTTTACCCGTAAGGCGATTCAAATTTCTTTCGGTATCATGTATCAGCCACACTGCCTTTCTCATCTTTTTGAAGACAGTTTCTGCCAAAGGGAATAGACATATCGATATTCGGAACAAATTAGGCAATTCACGGATTCCAGACTAGTTTGATGGACTAGTTTTACACTGCTGTGGTCATTTTAGATAGTCACGCAGTAAACGTTAGCGATCATCGCTGAACATAAAAGGAATTCTTAGGTATTTGCTGCTAGGAGCATTGAAAAATTTTCTGTAACAAACATCTGAAGATGTTAAATAGAGGGGTTTAAGTACGCCCTAAAATGGAATTTATTTTATCTCGCTAAAATTGAACTTGGTGAAATGATATTAAGTTGGTTATAGTTATTAAAGGTTTTGGATTTTTGCTCCCTTCAATTGACGAAATTTAGCCCTCTTGATCGTAAGCCTGTGGCTGAACCTCTATAAAAGTAGTTTTAAGTTTGGCATTGCTCATAAGTCTTGCCTCGAGGTTTCATGAAAATTGTTTCAAAATGATTCTTAAAATCGTTTCTGCATTAAAACTTCTACAAAAAAACCTATATTAGAGAATTAATTTCAACTGTATTTGAGTAGCCGAAATTAATTCGAAGATCGCAAAATTTGTTTTCTGATTTTTAGCTACGAGGATTTGAAAAATAATGCTAGCCTCTCTTCATCAGCTTGTATTTTTTCGATGTACCAATAACGAAGTTTGCACTGACAATGAGCACCACTAATTGTGCCCACCTTTTATCTTT